CGCACCTCGACGAACCTCGACACCAGGGAGCCTGCTTCCCGGCGGCACCGGGCGTCCATGCGGAACAAAAACCAAATCCCTTTTCCCCCGATGGTAACAGGTCGGACTCTTTCCCAAAAGCGGAAGCACCGGGAAGTTCGACGCCTGACCTAGGACGTATCCTCAGAAAGTTGGCTTGCCGGAATCCTCCTCCCTCCTAGCGTCCCCCGCCACCGGTGCTCCGTCTCTCTTGGCACCGGCCGGTGTGACTGCGGGGTCTTGCTCGCCCGGCCTTCCGAAATCCTCTTCGGTCGGCTGGGAAGGAGCGCCCGTGGTAATGGCAAGGGACCGTTTCTCAGCCGGGTCCGGTCGCAGTGCATCAAGGAGCTGCGAACGGGCACGGGATATAGACCTCTCCGCGATCGGGACTGGCCGTCCGGTCGCAAAACCCTCCCCTTGAGCGGGGCCCCCATGAGCCCCGGCACCTAATAAAAACTGGGACCCCACTCCTGACGATGGATATCTTGGAACCTGGCTCGATGAAGAACGCAGCGAAATGCGATACGTAATGCGAATTGCAAAACTCCGTGAATCATCGAAACTTTGAACGCATGTTGCGCCCGAGGCCTCGGCCGAGGGCACGTCTGCTTGAACGCCACACACATCCAGGTGGAGCCACGCATCCGCACCCACACCCTCCGCACGCGGCTACGTGCGGCCGGGTGAACGGGACGGAACTGCCAAAATGCGTCGGCATACGAGGGGCGCTCGGGTTTTGCTCGAGACAATCGCCCGTACCTGGGAAAACGAGATGGCCGTCGCAACCCGTGCACAACGGGGGGCAGTCGGCTGAAATCGCAGGGCCGCCGCAAGCCCGTCTCCTCTCCGTCTCGACCCCAGTGCAGATCCCCGGATGCCAACCGGGAGGACGCGAGCGGGACGAGCGAAACGAGGCGGGTGGCGACCCCGCTGGGCTCGGTGAACCCAGCCGGCCAACGGACCCCGTCCGGACCTCCCAGCAGGTGGGGGGGTATCGGATGCCAAACCGTTCCTCTTTTCCTCTCCCGAGAAGGCCGCGAAACGGAAAAATGGAGCCGAGGGCGTGGCAACCCTCGGTCTCCGCCCTCCAAAGTAGCGTGCACGGACCGGGCGAGGGGCGGACGGGGCCCGTACAAAAATGGTCGGACCGGGGAAGAACCGGGCAAACCCCCAAGCGATGGCTTCAAGTCAGGCGAGACCACCCGCTGAATTTAAGCATATTACTAAGCGGAGGAAAAGAAAACAACCGTGATTCCTTTGGTAGCGGCGAGCGACCAAGGAAAAGCCCAGGCTTGAAATCCGAGGGCCTCCGGCCCTCCGAATTGTAGTCTGAAAAGGAAGCGTTCTCTGTGACGGGCGCCGCCTTAAGTCCACTGGAAAGTGGCGGCAGAGAGGGTGACACCCCCGTCGGGCGACGACCCGTCACTTCACGAGGCGCATCCGAAGAGTCGGGTTGCTTGGGAGTGCAGCCCCAACATGGGTGGTAAGCTCCATCCAAGGCTAAATACGGCCAGGTTTCCGATAGCGAACAAGTACCGCGAGGGAAAGATGAAAAGAACTTTGGAAAGAGAGTAAAAAGTGCTTGAAATCGTCAGGAGGATAAGCGCATGAGCCCAAGCACACCTGCGGGACCCGTTCACGCGGGGCCCGGAGGTACGCAGCGCCGGTCGATGCCGCGGGAAAAGGAGCTCGCTCCCACCGCGGCGGAGACCGAGGATGGCCCTCACGGGTCGGCGCTGGCGAAACGGGCTGATGCGACCCGTCTTGAAACACGGACCAAGGAGGCCAACGCGGCTGCGAGCCAATGGGTTGAAAACCACAATGGCGACAGTGAAAGCGACCCGTGAGAAGGCGGCCTCGTGCTGCCCGCACCACGGACCGCCCCGGGGGCCTCGGCGCCCGGGGTGCGTTGAGTAGTCGCGTTGGGACCCGAAAGATGGTGAACTATGCCTGAGCAGGGCGAAGCCAGAGGAAACTCTGGTGGAGGCCCGCAGCGCTACTGACGTGCAAATCGTTCGTCAGACTTGGGTATAGGGGCGAAAGACTAATCGAACCATCTGGTAGCTGGTTCACGCCACTCCAGTTGAAATAAAAAACTCTCATTGCACTCAAGCTCTCAAACACTCTCAAGCGCTCACAAGCGATCCTGCTACCTACAACTGCCTTCGAACGCCTGCCAAGCGATCAGTTAGATTAGGAAGTTTGAGAGATTTCAACGCGCGTGTCCCACAGAAACCGGGTAGTACCCGCCTCCCTGCACAGGGTGGTGCCGGCTCGGCTGAAGCGGCCTAAGGGGTAGTGGGGCATTGGGGCCCTGCGACACCATCTTACTGCAGGAAAAGCTGTGGCACTGTCGGTACCAAGCGGACCTTCGTCGGTCTCGTGGCCCGCCGGCCTTACGGCTAGGCGGGGTATGGTCACAACCCGACAGCTGGAAGCCGATCTGCAGCGAACCACGGTTAGTGGGAAGTACAGACACTATATGGTGGTGGGTCTTCCGGACTCTGACGGAAGGCTTAAGAAAGAGCGCTCTGCGGGGAGTAATCTTCGCACTATGAGTCCGCCCATACAAAGGGCGGCCGATGGCAAGCCACAACGCCGTCGAGGGAAGAAGCACCTAGCCCTTCCCGCCCCCGGGCCCCAACAGGGCGAGCCAGCCCGTCTTGTCCCTGTTGGGGAGGTTCAAAGGGATTCGCCACCCCTGAAGGACCCCGAGGCCCTCTCACTGACGGTGTACGTTGGCGCCCCTGCATCTCGCAGAAAGGGCAAGCGCTCTGCCAAAGCGCTTGACCTTGAGGAGACACCAACAAAGAAGCAACGTCCTGAAGAGGGCCCCGGCCAGACGTCTGCTGTTCCGCAGCAACCCTTGGACTTGCCCACTGGCTACGTGCCAAATGTGGTCATAGTCCATCCACCCGGGCACGACAACCAGCAACAGTTGGAAGTGCGAGGTCGGAAACAAAAGAAAAGGAAGGCCGCCGCTGAGGCGAAGACACTCACCGAAACAGACTACCCGCCCCCTCCAAAGATCGTTTTCTTCGAACCTGTGTTGAACACGGTCGAACCGTCTTCGGAGCCGGAGAAGGCAATTCAGAACCCCTTCGACGGATCAGGGACACACCTTGGAAAACCCGCCCCGGAATTTCCGGGATTCAAAGCGGGCGAACAAGGTGTCCCAACGGTGAGCGGTGACAGCCTCAACACCAGCAACCTCTCGTCAGTGGTTGCGAAATGTAAAGGTTGTCACCACGTCTTTTGGGGACAGAAGATCCGCAAAATTCGTAAGCGGCATCGATGCCCCCCAGCCCGGCCCGACTCAGCCAAGCCGAGGGAAGCACTACGGACCAGTCCAGAACCCAAGGCGCAGGGCTCGTTGCCTGTGCTCGAGGGAGATCAGACCGCTCCGGAAGCGGCTCCCCAGGCGAAAGCTGGGCCTGAAGAGGTCCTCGGGGATGACTCCCAGCAACACCCACTCAGTGGGGCCGCTGGACAAAGAGGCACCCCCGTCCCTCACTCCGACAACCCGGCACATCCAGCTGAAGCTGGGCCCGACGTGGACATGAGGACCCTGCCTGTCGATGATCGGAATAGCAGCCAGTCACACCGCGAGCCACTCCCGGATACCCAAGGCCGGGATTCCTTTGACCGCCTCATTGACATGATGATCGCCCTCTCAGAGAAGGTTCAGACAATGTCTAACCAACTCGAGGAGGTGCGTCGTTCTGTTTCTGCTGGCGAGAGGGAGGTCGCTAAGCCAGCCACGGAGAATCTGGGAGCCATTCCCGACATTCCCACGGCTAGCGAGGCAGCCTCGGCCGCGCAAAGTCCATCCCTCCCTCCCACAAAAGGGGTGGACTCGGGTCACAAGACCAAGGGCAAAAAGCCGAAGCAGAAGAAGAAGAAGAAGAAGCCTAAGCCTCGGGCCTCTCCCTCACCTTCGACTGCTACGGCCCCTGCAGCACCTGCAGTGCCGACCTCGACTCCAAAGCCGTCGGGCGAAGCATCCCCCCCTGCAGTGGCGCTGGTTCCAAAGTCACCGGGCCCCCGCCCCAAGGGGAGGGCAGCGTGGGGCGAGCTTGGACCTCGCGACAAGTCCCAAGCAGTGACGCGGAAGGCGGGCGCGGCCAAGCCACCAACCTTTGCTGCTTCGAGCTCGGAGGATGCCTCTGCGCCAACCAAAGCGTCAAAGGACCCATCAGCCGCACCTGCAAAATCCGACTCCAGCGCTATCAGTCATGGGGGCCAAGCAAAACTCCCAAAGGGCCACCGGTGCACTTTCTGCAGCCGCTTGTTCCGCAGCCGCAAGGAGGTTGAGGACCACGCCAAGCGGAAAAATGGGTGCGCAAACCGGGACGCGCAGCGGGAGGACCAGCTCCGAGACAGGAAAGCGGACGGTCTCTTCAACACCGGAGGGCTGCGCAGCGGTAGCAGACGAGGCGGAATACTGGGCCAACTTTGAGGCAATAGACTGGTCACCCATTCTTGGAGAGGAAGCGGCTATGCTGCCTACCCTCCGCAAGGTGCCTTTCAAATGCCGAGGGCTGGCCACCGCCTGTCTCCGTCCAATTCTTGAGAAACTCCGACAGGATGGGGACCATAAGCCGGCCGGGACTCTGCTAGGGCTTTTTCCGCAGCTGTGCCTATCAACAGCTGCGCTCTCGAACGACTCCCCTCACTGGAAGCAGGTGCGGGAGCTGCTGACCTTATGGAGGCGCGGGGACTGGACCAAGTTACACCTGCGCGCCCTGGCGGCTATCAACAAAATGAATAGCAGGGTTCGAGAGAACAAGGCCCGAGTGGACGACCGGTACGGCAGTGCGGATACACTGGCGCGAACACGTCGCTGCATCAAGTTCGGGGAGCTGGCTGAACTCTCACGAGCAGCAGAGGCGCTGATTGCGGCAGACCTTGCCCCAACCACGGACGAGACTCGTAAGAGTCTGGAGGAGAAGCACCCCCGCCCCACGGTCCCCTTCACAGCAGAGGACGGCAGCTGCACCCTTCCTCACCCGGAGAAACCCACGAAGTGGGTCCTGAAGCAGGAAGTTCTCGCGCGGGCCCTTCGCGAGAGCCCTCGTGGCTCTGCAGGCGGTCCCACCGGCTGGCGCATGGACTTCTTACGCGAACTCTTCACGCACCCCGGAGACCTCAAACTCCTGGGGGCATGGCTTCAGGCAGCAGCAAGAGGGGATGTGGGGCAGGGGGTGGCGCAGTGGTGGACCTCGAGTTCGCTAGTGGCTTTGGAGAAACCAGGTGGCGGTGTCCGCCCGATCGCAGTGGGGGAAGTCTTCCCTCGCCTCCTGGCCCGGTGTCTCGCGGTCGACTACCATGACGCCATCATCCGACACCTGAAGCCGAAAGGGCAGTTTGGGGCTGGTGCGCGGAACGGAGCGGAGACGGTTATCCACGGGGTGCGCGCTGCTTGCATTGAAGGTCTAACCCTTCGGGGTCCAATCAGCCGCGAGGACAGCTGACTTGGCGTATGTGGTCAGCCTTATTAGTGTCGCTGGGACCCTGAAGTCTTCTTTCAGA